ATAGAATGATAGAAGCTATGATGTCTCATTTGTGGCTTTCAGATGATTACCCCTATGTCTGAAAGTCTTTTTTCTTTCAGATCCTTGCCCATTTGAGGAATGTCCAGTTCAACAACAGTGTTGGAGAGGAAGTTTCATTCTCAGAAAATGGACTAGGATCAGCTCATTATGATCTTCTCAACTGGGTTCTCTACCCCAATAAATCTTTTGCCCCCTTGAAAGTTGGGCAAATATATCCTGGAGCTCCCCCAGGCCAGGATTTCACCATTAACTCCAATACAATCATGTGGGCCACAGAGGTGAGTTGGTAGGAAATGTTGTAAATTCAAGGAAAGATCAATTCTGCCCTGGGGATGTCCAACATCATTCTAACTGGAGAACAGGTCTATTGAATCAGAAAATGTGGCAGATATTTTATGAAAAAATTGAGTGCAACACATTTGAGGTGTCATTTGAAACAGGTCCACTTTTATTTATTTACTTATTTGTTTGTTTATTTATTTATTTATTTATCCACCCATCTTACTACTTTTATTTATTGATTAACTTTATATTTCACCCATTTCACCAATAATGCAACTATAGGCAGGACAGAAACAATAAAATGATAAATACGGAAAACAATTTGAATTAAAAGACGTGAAGTAATAGGATTGGGAAGGATTTTCTGCTTGAAACCCAGGATGCCATGAAGACCAGGCAACATTGATTTTCATGGACCATTCATGCTCACTTGGACCCTCATAATTCTTTCTTTTAGGAAAGCTTTAGCTCAATGTCAAAAGCCTTCCTTTGTATGCCAAGGTCCCAGTTTTAATCTGCAGCATCTATTGGTAGTTTCTGAGGGCCACTCGTTCGAATTCTCCCAAGAGCTGTTCCAGGATTCTTTAGCTCCTGGTGAAAATTTCTTTTGAAGATCTTCTTGAGATGGAAATAGGAAGTTGGAAACATATAAATGAATCATGTTCATTCCTTAGGCCAACTCAAGCATTTGTCTTTTCTCTGTTAGAAGGTGCCCTTTGCCAGGTGTGGCATGAAGAGGTGCCATGCAGGAGAGAGGAGAAGAGTTCCAGAGGGCAAGCAGGTCTGCTGCTACCAATGTGACCCTTGTCCAGAAGGGACCATTTCTAATCAGACAGGTAGAGAAAATCTGGGGAACCGCCTTTCATTGTTTTCTGGGGACAAAAAAAACCTCTGACTACCAGACCTGGGATTCCAGAGGACCTGTGATGGCTCCCTTACTGTGGGGAACATCATGGTCCCTTTTTTCATGTGCTTTTTTTACACTTCTTAGAATATTTAATAATAACAATCTTTATTAAATATTTTTGTATGTATTTATTTGTTTCTTTTAAATTAAATGTTAGACATGCAGTAAAATATGGACAATTATACAAATATGATAAATAAATAATAAAATAAAATAAATAATGAAATAAATAATAAAATAAAATAAAATAAAATCCCTCTCGATCAATATGAATTTGGAAATCCTGTCTTTCCACCACTGATTACACAATAGTTTCAGGGCAGGAATTGGTCAGTCCCTCCTCTCTGTTCCACTCCCATTCATACATGGAGGGATGTAGGGAGTGGGGAAGCCCAAGAATCTGTCTTAGACCCAATACTCACCAATATCATCATCAATTATTTAGATGAGGGGATAGAAGGGGAATGTATCAAATTTGAAGACAACATGAAGCTGGCAGGAATAGCCAACACCCCAGAAGATAGGCTCAAGATACACAAGGAGCTTGATAGACTTGAATTCTGGACCAATATAAATAACTTTGAGAGGGATCTTGGAGTCCTAGTGGACAGTCACTTAAATATGAGCCAGCAGTTTGTGGCAGCAGCCAACAAAGCTAACACAATCCTAGGCTGCATTAATGGAGTGATAGAATCAAGATCATGAGAAGTGTTAATACCACTTTATAATGCCTTAGTAAGACCACACATTTGGAATACTGCATCCAGTTTTGGTCACCATGATATAAAAAAGATGTTGACACTCTAGAAAGAATGCAAAGAAGAGCAACAAAGATGATTAAGGGACTGGAGGCTAAAACACATAAGGAACGGTTGCTGGGATTGGGTATGTTCAGTTTAATGTAAAGAAGGACTAGGTATGTCTTGATAGCAGCCTTCCAATACCTAAGGGGTGCCACAAAAAAGTGTGTGTGGGGAGGTGTCAACCTGTACTCCAAAGCACCAGGACAAAAAGCAACAGATGGAAACTAATCAAGGAGAGAACCAACCTAGCTCTAAGGAGAAATTTTCTGACAGAAAGAACAATTAACCAGTGGAACAACTTCCCACTATTATTCCTTCTTTTTGTATTGACATCTCCAAAAGAAATCTATAGACTTTGGGGAGAAAGAAAAAAATGAAACTCTCTATGTCTAGTAACAATTTTCTGACAGCAAAAAAGAAAAATCCGTGTGATAGGGAAAAAAAATTGAAATATAAAGCACAGAATTGAACCACAAAATACTCAATTACTGTATATTATACCTTTGTATGTTTCTTTCTTTTTGCCCTCCTAAAACAAATTTCTCCTGAGAATCAAGTTTGATCAGGCTAAGGATTCTTTTTCTCATCCACCTCCCATTCCATATTAACATCAGTGTGTTATTTTCTTCTTAGAACACACCAACAAATAATGTATTTCAGTGATTCTCAACTTGAGTGAACTTCAGATGGGTTAGACTTCAATTTCCAGAAATCCCCAGCCAGTATTCTTGAAGTTGAGGTCAGGATATCTAAAAGCTGCTGACATTGAGAAAAAAGAATGTAGACAAAAGTCAAAAAGCAGCATTTGTGGCTGACAGGTCTATTGGTATTCCAATATAGAGTAAAAATGTCTAACCCTAATAGTAGTAGCCAACTTATAAGACCATTTGAACTGAACACATTCCTTATATGGTCAACATATAAGGCTCATCTTCAGTTAAGGTAGATCTGTCCTTTCTGGTGGACTGTGGTTTATTCTATTACTTTCTTTTTGAGATGTCCCCTCAAGATATGAGTCACATCTGAGGCAATCTGTGGGAAACAGAGAACTTCCTCATGGTAGGCGCAACTGAAAAAGCTAGACAAAGATTCTTCATTTCAGATGCAGCTCACTGTGACCCTTGCCCAGAAGACCAATATCCCAATAAGGATAAGAACCACTGCATTGCAAAGAAGCTCCACTACCTTTCCTATCAAGACATCCTGGGATACACTTTAGGATCTCTCGCTCTTTTTCTCTCTGTGATCACATCTACAGTCCTGGTGATTTTTGTTAAACATCGTGGCACACCAATAGTCAAAGCTAACAACCGAGATCTCACCTACATCCTTCTAGTCTCCCTCCTGCTCTGCTTCCTCTGCTCCTTCCTCTTCATTGGTCAACCTGAGAAGTTCATCTGCCTCTTCCGACAAGTTGCCTTTGCCATCCTTTTTTCCCTTGCAGTTTCCTCTGTCTTGGCAAAAACTGTCATGGTGGTTCTGGCCTTCATGGCCACCAAGCCAGGGAACAGGGCAAGGAATTTCTTAGGAAAATCACTGACCAACTCCATTGTCTTAGCCTGTCCCCTGGTCCAAGCAACTCTTTGTGCCACTTGGCTGGTAATCTCTCCTCCATTTCCCAACTTGGACTTCCACTCCTTGGTAGGAGAGACCATCTTGGAGTGTAATGAAGGCTCAACTTTAATGTTTTACACTGTCCTTGCCTACCTGGGTTTCTTGGCTCTTGTGAGTTTCATGGTGGCCTTTTTGGCTAGAAAATTGCCTGACAGTTTTAACGAAGCCAAGTTCATTACTTTTAGCATGTTGATCTTTTGCAGTGTTTGGATCACCTTCCTCCCCACCTACCTGAGCACCAAAGGGAAGTCAATGGTGGCTGTGGAGATCTTCTCCATTTTGGCCTCTGGAGCTGCTCTCTTGGCTTGTATTTTTTCCCCCAAATGCTACATTATCCTATTGAGACCAAATCTGAATTGTAGAGAAAATATAGTAAGAAACAAGAATATGTAACTAATGGAGGAATAGGCCACATTTACAGTATATTTGTCTTTGAGGTCTGTTTAGTATGTGATGACATTTCTTTAAAAAATGATAACATGAAGCATGATCTTCCATTGTTAGTAGTATCAAATCTTTTGACTTTCAAGCATATAATAATCTTGCTGCAGTTGTCATACATAAGAGTTCCAGAATTTTCTAGTTGCCTGTCCATTAGTGTGGGTAAAATCTATTTAATAGACAATTTGAGACCTAAGGAATGTAGCCTTTCATCTCATAGGATCCATGGTAATTTTTATCAGAACATTCTCATAGAACCTCATGAATCTCAACATGCAAAGGTTTTTTCCGGCCAAGACCATTCTTCTCTGTAGATAACAGAAGAGCAGGAGATCTATTAGGTTATTACCTATAAATATCCATGCATCATTTCTCCCTCCCTTCTGTTGCCTCACTTTTTTGAAATACATTTTTATTAGAAGTTTTACAAAGAGCATTACAAGTAGCACTTCCTGTCCTTTCTGAAATCTGTAACATGATCCTGCGACAGAAAACAATTAAAACAATTTAGCAATTTAAACAACAATTTAAACCAATTTAATCTATATACACACACACAATCTGTATGTATGTATATATGTGTGAATGTATATATATGTGTGTGTACTGAATGTATGTATGTATATATTGATGGATAGATAGATAGATAGATAGATAGATAGATAGATAGATAGATAGATAGATAGATAGATAGATAGATAGATATCTCTGTGATCTTCAAAGCTACTGAAAGAACCATGTTTTCAGGATTTCTTAAATGCCCAGAGCTAATTCGACCTTGGGGGGGGGGAAATGATGTTGCAAAATGTGGGTTCCACCGCAGAAACTGTCTGCCTCCTATGTTCCTTTGTATTGTTTACCAGACAGAACCCATAACATGAAATTCTTGGCAGGCCTGATGGGACAGGGAGATGTAACCAGGGACAGGAGGCTCATCCAATGACCTGCTCATATCCATGTAACGTATTAATGTTGTATTTGTACCAGATGCTATTCTAGGCAGCGCACACAGAGTGTATTTTAACAGTCCATTTGGAAGGTGATCAGGGTATGAATGACTCTGACCAGAGTCTCATGATCTAAGAATAAATGCAACTGGCACACAACCCAAAGCTCTGCAAAGGCCCTCCTAAATACAACTGTGATCCACTCTTTGGGCAGGAGTAGTGAAACCAGAAGGAGCCCCAGATTATGCAGAGGGGGTGGCTCTTTGGAGCAATGCCACATCACCTAGTATTAAACCTGATAAATTCATGGATCCAGAAGGCGCTAAAACCCAAAGCCACTTAATCTTTCCAGGTTTAAAATGAAGCCTGTTTCTCCCTATCCAGATCTGCCCTCTGAAGGTCTCCCGCACCAGGTTGGCAGAGCTCAAAGCAGCTGATTTGGGTGCAGGTAGTCAGGTGCAGGGCTTTTTGCTTCCCAGATTTTGAGGAGGTGGCCACCACTGCTGCTTGTTGTGCCTGCCTACACTAAACTCCTCCTTGAAACACTGGAGCATCCAAGAGGACCTGGATGGAGAGCAAGGCCAGGCAGGACACAATGGGCAGTGGTGGTGGCAGAAGCCACAGGGTGGATCCCAGTGTTCAGACTTTGAAGAACACAAGTATGTGGTGCTTTCCAAATATCTGTTACATTGTCCATGTAAGGAATGACCAGGTTCTTCTGTTGACTCTGAATCTCAGCTCTGTCTATCATTCTTTCATTGGATCCAGATGCTGACTTGATAAAGGCCTAATATAGAGGAAAGATTTATTAGTTGGAACATTTACATCGCAAATCAGCCTACTCAAGTAATGAGCCTTATTCAGGGTAAGAGAGAAATGAAATCACCCTGGAGGACACATATGGGGTTCCTATAAAAAACTCAGATCACACTGAAGAACCTGCTGGGATAAGCAGTGAAACATTTGAAATCAACAGGAAAAGAAACAAAGTCCAGCTCAGAAGATGTAATAGCAGCCACTGAATGGGAATTGGAATTAGAATTAGAATTAAATTTTTGAAAAGGAAGGGTGATCAGTCTTGATGACTTACTGTGAGTTGTGAACCACATGCTATAGAGCAGGGGTCCCCAGTACCGGGCCTTGGCCTGTTGGCCACTGGGCAGCGGGAATAACTGGTGAGTCTCCCCTTGCGGTAGTGCTGCCATGCGGGCGCTAACAGCAAGTTTGCGCATGTGTATGCACACCAGAAGCCCATTTCCACAGGTGCCAGCAGCCCATTTGTACATGTGCATGGGCACCCATGTGCTACCGTGGGTGCGCATGGCCTGCTTGTGCATGTGCATGTGCTAGCACCACTGCCATGAATGCACCTGTTTGCACGGCTGTGCAGGCAGGCTCTGCATGCACACATTTCCCTGCTCTTCCCATTCCTTCCTGGCTGCCAAGCCAGAAAGGTTGGGGAGCTCTGCTATAGAGGTAGGAGAGAAGAACAATAGTGAGTGAGGGGTGTGTTTCTCCCACTTGTGGTCAATATAGAAGCATCTGATTGGGTATCCTCAAAGACAATAACTGGTATAAGATGGCCTTGGCCATAGCCAAGGGATGCAAATTAAACCTGATCATTCAAGAATGTGGTTCAGTAGGTTACTTCAGCTTGATCAATGTCATTATAGCTACTGACCTCGAACAAATGAGTCCTCACTGACGGACCTCAAAATCAGGGATTTGGGCTCAATCTGTCACCTCCAACCAACACTAACTACAGGTGCTCAGTTTTAAGAACTACTGTATATGTCAAATACCCAACTTCATCTTGACTCTCAAATCCCTCAGCTCTGTGAATCACAACAGACATATTTTTTTTTAAAACTGTCTGGTGCACAAACAAAATTTAATGCTACGTAGGAAGTGCTTTTCCTTGCAATTACCAAAAGAACAGTAATTGTCAATACATTCCTTGTGGATTTCCGTCCACAAAAATCTGCTTTACAAAAATATGCTCTGATGTTTCCTGTTGGGGCAGGGCTATGTCATATGTCACGTTACTTTGTCTTGCAAAGAATGAATTCCTGGGTTTGGTGAGACGTAGCTGACCTTAGTTTCCACATTGGTCAAAGCCCAAACACAGGTAAGAGAAAATTGGTTGGTATAAATTTGCCCCAAGACCTTCCAGGTTACACGGCCTGTCTCTGTTGTGCTAAAGTGCTACCTGCAATTCAGCTTCTGCATAATTCTTGATTTCTGATCTAGGAGAGAAGGTGACAATAATGACTCAGCTTCCACACCTGTTGCTGCTTTTCTGCTTGGTACCTCCAGCATCTAAGAAGATGCCAAACATAGGCGTGTTGGCAAACACTTTCCAGGTTCAGCAAGAATATTACAGGCCTGGTGATCTCATTATTGGTGGGAATTTGCTCCTGACAACCATTCAATACTTAAACAATCCACCTTTTAATAAAGAACCATCCAAGATTTCTTATTCACTGGTGTAAGTAAGCTGACCCCCTCCTCTTTGAGGCAATGAAATGGACAGAATGTTAATTTAGTTAATAAATAAAAAAAATAGACTATAATTTGCAATCTTTTTAAAATGCATCATCACAAAGATGATAAACAACATAAAAATAAGGAGGATAAGATATTAGAAACTGTCCAGGCCTGGGGAAGAAGTTGACTTACTATATTAATTTGGACAGAAAATCATAGTGGAAAATTCAAATAAAAGCTCAGTCCTTTTCCAGTGTGGCATATTAAAAGAAATAAAACTCAGTTTTGGAATCAGCACTGCTCATTAATAATCTATCTAAGTCTTTGCTGTGGCCCCAACTGGAGTCTTGTGCACAGCAAAAGTTACAAGATCTGAAGAAGCTGCTCAAAGAGAGAACCAAATTGATTTGGATTGTATAGGGGCATCTGGGAAGGATTATAATAAGAGTGTTTCCTTGAAAAAAAACCCAAGCCCAATGAAACATGGGACTTGCTGCTCTAAAGAACACCAAAATAAAACAGTTCTAATTCCACTAGCATATAGATGTTGTGCTGTAATGTGCCCCAATGATTTTCTTACTATAGGCCTATACCGAAGAATTACCAGCAGTTCCTAACCCTGAAATTTGCCATCACAGAGATCAACAAGGATCTGGTTCTCCTTCCCAACATCACCCTTGGCTTCCACGTCTATGACAATCACCAGACTGACAGGAATAGTTTCTTAATCAGCCTCTCCCTTCTCTCCATGCAAGGTCAAATGGTTCCAGGCTATAAATGTGGCAGGCAGGGCACTCTGCTCTCTGTCATTGGAAGTGGCAACCCAAAATCCTCAAGGCAGATGGCCTCCATGTTCAGCATCTACAAGGTCCCACAGGTAAGGGGGCTTTACTGCATACAATATGAGGTAGAAAAAGAACAGAAACACACAGCAGACAAAGATGAAACCAAGTTATTTTGGGGTGGGTGGGTGGCATATCAGGGGTATATGGCTTAGATAATCTATGCTTTTGCTGAATTCATTTTTATATTTTATGTGTCAAGATACATTTTATACAGTATAACTCCAAAGAGAGAGAGGGAATGAGATAATTCTGAAATGCTGCATTTGCCAAGAGGAATTCCTTCCTGACTTTAATAAATGCTATTTATTCTCTGTATTAGCCTAATACTTCCTTCCCTTATGTTCTGACATGTTACAACCAGACAAAATGTGTTATTGGTGGCTCTTTCTAAGAAGGGAAGCAGCTTTAGCTTGAAACTCAGGGTGAGCTACTCTATTTGGTGGAGCAATAACCAAACAATTGAAGTCACCATAATTTTTTCTTTGTCTTTGGGGGGGAAAAAAATCTCACTTTCTCCAGCTCAGTGTTGACTTTGAGTTTTCTCAAGGAGACAGAACCCTTTATCCTTCCTTCTTCAGGATTAATCCCAAGGAATTTCCTCAGTATGTGGGTTTAGTCCAGCTGCTCCTATATTTCCAGTGGAACTGGATTGGGCTTCTTCCCTCTGAAAGTG